GAGAAAGGAGGGCCCCATCAGCTTTTGTCTCTGAGGACCTAAGAACCCTAGCTGTGACTGCCACCTGCAGGACCTCAACAGCCTAGGCCCCACAGTCTGCCCTGATGTTGGCCTCAGTTGATAGGGCTGTACAGAGACTGCCACTGTGCCTTAGGAGCCAAATACTGCATCCCTCCAGCAGGCACCCTTGCAACAACCTTCAGGGGACTGTTTTTCCACCAAAGCCGATCTGAAAGGCTGGAGAGGTAACTGCTCCTTTGATGCACAGACATCAATGCAGAGCCATCAGAAATACAGAAAACTGAAGAAACATGACACCACCAGAGGAACACAATAGTTTTCCAGTAACTGACTTTGAAGTAATGGAGATCTACAAATTACCTGAAAAAGAATTCAAAATAATTATTTTAAGTAAGCTCAGCATGATTCAGGAAAACACAGACAACAAACTCAGTAAAGCAATGCATGAATGAAATGAGAAGTTCAACAAAGACAGGTATCATAAGAAAGAAACCAACAAATTCTGGAGTTGAAGAATACATTGGCTGAAATTAAAAATTCAATAAAGTGCTTTAACAGCTCTGATGTGCTATTGTTGGAATATAAATTGGTACAGCCCAAATGGAAATCAGTATTCAGGTCTTCAAAAAACTAAATATAGAACTACCACATGATAGGGTCCATGATCTAGCAGTTCCTCTCCTGGGTATATATCTGAAGGAGTTGAAATCAGTATATCAAGGATGTATGTGCATATGCATGTTTACTGCAGCATTATTCACAATAGCTAACACATGGAAACAACCTAATGTCCTTCAGCAGATGGAAGGATAAAGAAACGTGGTACATATTTACACAATGGAATGTTATCCAGCCATGAAAAAGGAAATGCTGCCATTTGCAACAATGTGAATGAATCTAGAGCACATTAATCTAAGTGAAGTAAGCCAGACAGAGACAAATACTGTACAGTTTCACTTATAGGTGGAAAGGAAAAAGAAGCCAATTTTATGGAAACAGATTAGAGTGGGAGCTTCCTGGGACTTGGGGAGAAAGGGGAGAGGAAACAGGGCAATGTAGATCAAAGGGAGTACATTTTCCACTATATGAAAAGTAAGTCCTGAGGATCTAATGTATAGCATGGTGACTTACTTAGTAATTGGTATTGTGTGTTCGAAAGTGCTGAGAATAGATCTTCAGGATTCTCATCACAGACACACAAAAAGAGGAAACTATGTGAGGTGATGGATGTGTTAAGTATTTTGTTCTTGGTAGTCATTCCACAATGTATATGTTTAGCAGATCAACATGTTGTCACTTTACATATGTACAACTGTATTTGTCAGTTGCTCCTCAACTTAAAAAAAAATGAAAAAAATAGGAGGAAATGAATTTTGATACTATAATATAATCTTCAAACCGAATTCCTGTGGAACAGGAATAATCTTTATAGCAAAGGGATTTAGTTGAGAATCATATATTGTCTTTGATTGACATAATCACTTTTAGTCTGGACAACTCTTCAGTCTTTCCTTGGTTTTTAGGAAGATTACAGACTAGTTATTTTATAGAATGTTCTAAATTTGGGGTTGTCTAATGTTTCTTCATGGTTAGATTCAAGGCTGTGCATCTTTGATAGCAATGTAGAGCTAGTGCTGTTTTCCTAAGTGAAATAGTGGCATCCAGTTTACTTCATCCATTATTAATATTATTTGATTAATGTAGTATTTGCCAGGTTTCTCCACTTCAGGTTACATTTTTCCCCTTTGTAACTGATGGTTATTTTGTGGGGAGGTAGTTTGAAACTTGCTAGTGTCTATTATTTGTCACACTTTCTCATTATTCACTTATTAATTTATGTCAGTACGGATTCCTGGCTTCCTTTTTTCATGCAGTAGATTATAATCCATTTTCATTATTTACTTTGATGTTAAATTGTTTCCTGTTTGGTCAGTGGGGTCCTCTTCACGCTGTCTTTCATGTTTTGTTATATTTGTAATTTTTTGAGTGCTTCTTTGCTTTGCAGCACAAAATGGTTTATGTTATGCTTTTTCTGCCTCTGCTTTATAATTAGCCATTTCTCCAAGGAGCCCTGGTTCATTTAGTGGTGAATGGTATTTTAAAAAACATTTTTAGAAATTGAGATATAATTGACATATAACATTTTATTAGTTTCAGGTATACAGCATGATGGCTCCATATTTGTAACAAAATGATCACCACAAGTTTAGTTAACACCCATCACCACATAGTTACAGATTTTTTTCTTGTGATAAGTACTTTTAAGTTCTACTAGATCTACTCTCAGCAACTTTCAAATATACAATGCAATACTAACTATACTCAACATGCTGTGCATTACATCCCCAGGACTTATTTATTTTACACCTGAAAGTTTGTACATTTTGATCTCTGAACCTACTATGCCCATCTACTACCTCTATATCTGACAGCTAGCCACCAGTCTGTTTTCTCTATCTTTGAGGTTTGCTTTTTTTTTTGATTCCACATATAAGTAAGATCATATAGTATTTGTCTTTCTCTCTCTGACTTATTTCACTTAGCGTAATGCTCTCAAGGCCCACCCTTATTGTCATAAATGGCAAGATTACCTTCTTTTTCATAGCTGAATAATATTCCATTGTGCATATATAGTACATTTTCTTCATCCATCCATTTGTTGATAGACACTTAGGTTGTTTTTCTGGAATGAAGCTGCAGTGAACATGGAAATGCATATAGCTTGCTAAAATCCTGTTTTCATTTCCTTTGTGTGTATACCAGAAGTGGAATTGATGGACCATATGGTAGTTACGATTTTAATATTTTGGGGGAAACTCCATGCAAGTTTCCATAACAGCTGACCAATTTACATTCCTATCAAAGTGCAGTAAATGGTATTTTGATGTCAAGATTTGTTTGCTGGGTTTGCTCATTGCTTTTGATGTATCTCTGCTAAGTCCTTTCAGTGAAAAGATCTGGGAATACATGTGTATGAATTTGTGTGCATGCATGTGTATATATGTATATTGTGGTTGCCATGTGTGTTTATCACAGTTGAGCCTTACTTCACTCAAGGAAAAACAAGCAAAGATGCAGCTGAAATACATAGTTTCTTTCCTGACCATGGATATGAAACTACTGAAATGGAAATAAGGAAACAGTGCTATAGAGAACACATCATGGTCTGTGATATGGCCCAGCTTCCCCAATGCCCAGTATCCCCTGATAGGCGTCCAGATGTGAGCAAAACCACCCATAGGAAAGAAGCTCTACTTATAGTAAGAAGTTTTGTTTGCTGTATTCATGGGCTTGGGAGTGAGTGGAGGGAATCCAGCCTCCCACACACCTGACTTCCTGGAGACTCAGGCAACCTGCCTGCCCAACATTGTGCAGTGTTGTTTATGAATCTGGGTTAAGCAATGACCAGTGTCCCAGGAGCATCTTCCAGTGGCCCAGATTTCTGTCTGTGTTTCAGTGAAACTGTCCATCATAATCACACTTTACACTTCATCACGAAGTAGTTCTTAGGTGTTTTTCCAAAGAGGACATCAAAATGGCCACAGGTACATGAACAGGTGCTCAGTGTCACTCATAAGCAGAGAATACAAATCAAAACCACAATGAGATACCACCTCACATCTGTTAGAATGGCTGTCATCAAGAGGGCAGGAGACATTAGGTTCTGGTGAGGATGTGGTGAAAAGGGAACTTTTATAAATTGCTGGTGGGAGTATATGTTGGTTCAGCTACTATACAAAACAATATGGAGGTTCCTCAAAATATTAAAAACAGATTCGCTATACTATCCATCAATTCTACTTCTGGGTATATACTCAAAGGAAATGAAAACAGTATTTTGACAAGATACATGAACTCTCATGTTTATTGCAGCATTGCTCACAATAACCATGGTATGGAAACAGTCCAGAAGTCCATGAATAGATGAGTGGACAAAAAAAGATGGATGTGAAATATATACAATGGAATATTATTTAGCCATGAGAAAGGGAGATATCCTGCCATTTGCAACAAAATGAATGGACCCTGAGCACATTATGCTAAGCAGATAGGTCAGACAGAAAGACAAGTACTATATCATATCACTTCTATGTGGAATCTAAAGTATTGAAACCTGTAAAAAAGAATAAAATGGTGATTACCAGGGGGTGAGAAGAGGGGATAAGATTGATGACTTTAAAGGGTACAAGCTATAATGAGTAATAAATAAGCCATAGATATCCCCAAACAAAATACGAGGGAAAAATTAAAACATACTTGAACAAAAAAGTTTTATTGTGCATTGTTTTTCTAAGTTTTTGTTTTTGTTTTGTGGACCTAAAGAAGTTGGTAAATATATGGGGGAAATATATGGAAAAAATAGGCTTGTGAGACTAGCTTAAAATAAAGAACTACCAAGGCAGAAAAGTAGTTCTGGTATTTTACGAAACTTCTGGCCTAAATGGGAAAAAGTCACCAAAAGAAAAGTTTTTAATAGATTGCTTTTAGAATCTAAAATTTTACTTATGAATGTTAAGGTTTTATCCTCTCTCCAACCTGGATATTTTTGAAAAGTCACCTCGTTCTTCAGTTCTTTGAAATGAAGAGCCTACTTTGAGCTCCTTTCCTTCAGTCCTGAGCAGCCATTTTCTTCTGTGTGTTTCTCAATATAGAGGTTCCTCTATAAAGGTTTCTTAGATTTTTTTGGCTACACTGCCCCCTTCTGTCTAGAATAAAAGTTAGCTCTCGGCTGGCTGGCAGACACTTCCTGATCTCATCTTCCCTTTGGAGCAGGTGTTTACCATCTTGCTTACTATTTCTGTTGTAGACTTAGCAGCAGCACCACCCTCAGTGGGGATGTGTAAGGACGTAGTGGTTCCCATGGTGGATTCTGAGGTCTGTGTCCATCTGTGCTGGAGGAAGACAGTCGTAGACTCTGCAATGCACAGCTGTCTGCATTGATAATGACTGCCCTTTTCACTCCATTTTTGTCCTGACAGGGAAAGTCTTGCATGAGGAGCATGTTGAACTCTTGATGGAGGAGTTTGCATTCCTGAAAAAAGAAGTGGTGGGGAAAGACCTGCTGAAAGGGTCTCTTCTCTTCACAGGTCAGTTTTAGGGGGGATCCCAGGTCTGGTGCAGCTGGTGAGGCTGGAAGGCTAACCACATTTCTTCCTAGCTCTCTAGGATGTCAGCCTCTCTGACTGAGGACCAGCCTAATTCCATCTTCCCATGCTTCCATGAATAATAAAAATACCTATTTTTCCTTCTTCAGATGAGATACAATTGTTTTGCAGGCCTTGGGTAAAAAGTACGTTAGAAATCTCAAACACATTAAACGCTGCTGTCCCAATTTATTAGGTAGATTTTTCCCTCATTAAATCTTAGCAACTTGGTGATTATTTTTTTCACAGGAGGTTGAAAATGAAACCTCCTTTTCAAAAAAGGACGGAGAGGTTTCTTGGAGTAGAACACATTTTTATACTTCTCTTTGTGAGGCAGATAGAATATGCATAAGCCCCTTTCTTCCTCCACCAAGTCATAAGGACTTTGACTTTGGCCAGAATATTTGATCTACCATGTATTCAGTTATTTAGTTAATGTTGGTCATTCTTCGAGCAGCTGCGTTAGCAGTGGGCAGTGAATCTCCTGGAGCCTCCTGCTCATGTGGTCAGTCTTGGATGGACTCCTTATCTGGCTGCACCCGGGGCCACCTTTCCTGTGGGCTTTCATTACAAAAGGGAAACCCTGGCATGGCCAGGCATTGTTAAGTGGTGAAACCATTCATCTCTTGATGAGTTTCCAGAAAACACAGTGGAACCTCATTTCAAAATCCATCTTCAATTAAAAATGTGATAAACTGAGAGTCATGGCAACAAATAATAACAACCATTAATCTGTACAAGAAACTGCTAAATGTGTGACATGCATTACTTCATGTCATTCATATGATAATGATATTTCATGGGCATTTATCACCCCCATGATATTAGGGAAAAAATAAGCTCAGATGTGAGTAGTTTTGTAAAGCTGACAAAGCAGGTCCATGGCAGAGCCAGAGTGGAGCTCAGACCTCAGACTGTCTCTCAAACTTCTGACGGCCGCTCCATCCTCTCTGAAGAGCAGGAGCAGACGGTATCCCAGAGGGACCTTTCTTTAGGAAGTTTGATCCTTAGGTCCTTGAGATTCCAAACTGTGTGTTCTGTGAAACTTCTCATTTTTGTTTGCTTTTACTCATAGCATTATATATTTTTAGAACGTACCTATAATTTTGAACTGCTTTAAGTCAATAGCAAAGTTATAAGAAATCCTTGGCTTATAGAGCAATGTTATAGGTATGAAGTCATTTAAATTTGGGCTGAGAACAGTGGTGATCAGTATGTTGACCAAACATTTCTCACACAGGTCCTCTTTTGTACCTGAGATCATGAAGTTTAAGAAAACACTTAACACCCTATCAATTTCCTTGATACTAACATAGTTTATGTATTACTGTTTTCTTTGCTATCATGATGGCCTCATCCTATTGCTGCCTGCACAGTTATGTGATATTTATAGAAATATAGGCTTGAAGGGCTAAAATACCTTGAGTATTCTTTTACAAGGTACCTCTAAATCATTAACTGAGGATACACATGTATGTGTGTGTATATATATGTGTGTGTGTGTGTATGTATGTTTACATATACCAACACACACATAAACATTTATTAGAAGCCTGAAACGTTTGTATAATCCTGTGGGCTAGGTAGACTGTTTCTAATAAAATCTTTTATTTTCCTCACAAAACTGAATTAAATAAACAAGAAGAAAGGGGGTGCCTTATATCTGGCACCTGAGTTTTCTCAGCGTTGTTGGTCACCTTGCATACACACCCCCCTCCTGGAAGGTGGGGTTGTGTCATCCTGAGCACCCAGCCACATCTCTTCACCCCATCTTACCCACCCTGCACCCACTCTGACTTCCAGCCCGCAGGCCTTCTTCCCGGTTCCCACGTATTTGTGATTCCCCACAGCTGGCCCACTGGAAGAAGAGCGGTTTGGCTTCCCTGCATTCAGTGGCATTTCTCGGCTGACCTGGCTGGTCTCCCTCTTTGGGGAGCTTTCTTTTGTGTCTGCCACGTTGGAAGAGCGAAAGGAAGATCAGTATATGAAAATGACTGTGTGCCTGGAGACGGAGAACAAAAGGTAGGTCATGAGAAGCCATGAGAAGGAAACTTAGGGACATCCTCACATGCTCACAGGGGTGCATCTGGAGGGAGACCCTCACCCCCTCCAGGAGGGCTGACTGCTTCTGAGCAGACAGAACAGGGGCTGGGCCCTCCCTTACAGTGGCCCAGTAAGGTAAATAAGACAAACAGGAGCCCCTTTGCCAGGAAGTAAATAGAAGTGTACGGATTTTGAGCAGCTGGTCTAAAGTGACACAAATGAGCATAACAGATGTCATAACAGAAATCCGGTTACCTTGTGTCCCAATTTTTTTTCCAACATTTTATTTAGATAGTTGCAGGCATATGCTGAAGTTGAAAGAATTTTGCAGTGAACAGTCATACAACTACCACCGATTTACTCTTTTTTTTTTTACCACAGTAGTCAGTACTCTGTGTGACCAAAATTTCAGTTTCTTTGTCTGTCAGCTTTATTGTAGTGTCATACTGTTTCCCTGAATGTTCTGAGTCTTTATTTCCCATACTCAGTCTTTTTAAAGCATGTTCATGATTTTCCTTGAAAGGTATTTGAGCTTCGTAAAATATTTAAAACAGCAAGGGTTTTAGAATGTTTCTATAGGTGTTTCCATACATATGGGTCTGTTGTTAGTAAGAGACAGACCATTGGTATTTGCCACAAGAAAAGATTGGGTCCCTGAAGGAGGCCTGATCCACACCCATTTAGAGGAGTTCCCTCTGCTAGGGAGGGCGGAGGATGCAAATGAAGGTAAACGATGCAGAGCTGGGTGTGTGGCATGTGGAGTGGTAGTGGTCGTGTTCCTGCCTCTGACACTAGCGTGTGAGTGTTGGGGTCACAGCCGTGGTCAGCCCTGTCCGCAGACGGGCATGGCCCCGTCTGTTCAGAGCCAAAGGGAGCTCAGGGTGCTGCAGGAGCACAGGGCATGGGACCCTGGAAAGGTCGGACCACATTTATCAGAGGATGAGGTGCTGCGCTCAGTCTTTGAGTTTGAGTAGGAGTTAGGAAACAGAAAGGGAGGGAAACAGACCCTGACTCTTTGCAAAGGGGAGGCAATCATCAGGTGAGAGCTTGAGACCGATGGCAAATCCTATAACCTTTTAAATTCATATAACACTTTCCTTTTCACAAATTGCATTTTTAACCTCACATCCCCACCCCAACATAGATAAAGCACTGTATTTATTATCATTATTTATTTTTGCTGATTAGGAAATTGAGGTGGAGGAAACATCCTGACAATTTGCATTCCCTCCAACTCTTAAGATTCTATGCTATATGGAAAGACATGAGAATTTTTCTTAGGTGGCTCAGACTATGTGGAAAACCTCACATTTACCTTTATTCAGGATTAAGTAAAGCAGTGAATAAGTAGCATTAATACTCATCTTTGTTACTATATTCTGTAATGTTTTAAAGGCTGTACCATGAGCTTTTAAAATTAGTCATGGGCTGAAGCTAATATGTTATATGTAAATCATACCTCAAAAATTTTAGAAAAAAACTAGCCATGAGAATTACTTTTTTTGAAAAAGTTAGACCCACTTTTTGATTGTGAAAATTTATTTTTAAAAGTTTGAGTCTTAAGCGAAAACTGTTAGTTGTTTGAACACCTCAGTTTACTAGTTTACTAAGTTAACTACTGTTGCCTAGATTCTTTGCCTAACTTGAATATGAATTTTTCACGTATGGGCTGGAATTGATTCACACATGAACCATTTTAATGACTTTCCAGAATAGAAGATTTGCTGAACTGCTCCTCTTTTTGAAGCATTTGAAGCAGATTGGTCCCTGCCTGGCTTTCATGCCCCAGGGCATAGTATGCTGTGTGAAGGGGAAAAGCCATCTTACCCTGTGAATGCAGCCCTGGTGTCTGACTGTGCCTGGGATGAGGGCTTTGGGATCTGTGGGCCTCTCCTCTCTTTCCCCCAAAGCTTATCTCAGTCAGCAGGCCAGATTTTATTTCAGCTGTAAGTGGATGTCTTCCCAGGACTTGTTCCTCCACATTAAGAGATTCTGCCAGTTGTTTCCAGACACAATTTCTTACTAGCTACCTTCAAACAGCAGAATGGAGCAGGACCACTGTAGGAGATGGGAAAGCATGATTTTGAAAGGTCACAATGAAAGTATTAGCATTACTGGAAATCCTGTTATATAGGTGCTAGTTTTAGCTAATGTTTATTGAGTGTTTCCTATGTGCTCAGTCCTTTTATAACGGTTCTCTCATATAATCTTACACAATTAAGCATTATTATTAACACCTAGGAAACTGAGGCTCAAAGAGGTTAAGAAACTTACCAAGAGCATAGAGCTGATGAGTGGTTGTGTAAGAATCACACTTAGACTGTGTCCAGTCCCCAGATTGTCACCCTTTCTCCCCAGAAATGCACAGGAAGGGCACCAGGAAGGAACATCATGGAGGACACACCACAGCTAGATTTCACCTTATTAACATAGTCCTCTCCTGCCAGTGAGGTAGGTGTCATTGGCCTCAGGTCCCAGAATTATCCAGGAAACCCTAGTGCAACTTACTCCCAAGCCCATGTTCTTTCCATTTTGCCAGCAGCTTTCAAGCTTTGTAAAAATAAGCTTTAGAACCCTTTTTCTATCCAAATTCTATGTGGACAGACAGTCTAAAGGAGAGGCTCAAGTTTCAACTCTCCTGTTGACGCTATTTGGCAGGAGTGGTGCCAAAGCTGTGTGCACCCCTGCCTGCTCATCCCTCAGGGCTGGGGGGAAAACACTGGTAGAAAGTCAGCACCTCCACCATGCTTGCAGACACATGCTGATGGCAGGGATGCAGGTGGGGTTGTACACCTTCCTGTAGAAGGCAAGAAGTACAAAGCATTTTTGCAGATGGTTCTCAGGTTGACAAATGCAAATGTTTGCAAATGAAGGTTTTCACAAAGAGGTGGAGCACAGTAGCTATCTGAATTCAAGCTGGTGTTTTCGGTTGGGATGTCTGAAACTAAGTGTTGTCCAAGCCCAGAGCATCAGTGGACCAGGTCCTGTCCTCAGTTCTGCTCCTTCCAGTGGGTAGTCAAGTATCAGTGGCAGTATCCTGCTTAAATGTGTGATTGAAGAACCGTGTGACTTTTCACATAGTTAGCAGATAGGGCCACAAAATGGGAGTTTTTCTATCACCATCTCTTCTGATACCATCCTGCATGTATGGGTATTGGCGTGGCTTTGCATTTATGTACTTAAGATCTTTACCTCTTAAATATTCACTCCACACTTCCTAGGTCTTGGCAAGCTAGGTTAGCTGAAGGGAAGAACTTTTTTATCTGGGTTAGAGGCAGCCCTGAGCTTCCTACAACACCCAAAACAATCTTAAGTGACCTGCTTGGACCCTTTTCCTGTACCCCACACTTAAATCTTAAGTCTTATGTGCCATCACTCCGGAGGCAGGGAACAAAGAAACAAAAGGTTGTTTCCCTTCATTTCACAGCAACAGTGGTCTCACTGCGGGTACCAGGCCTGACCTTCTGCAGCCCAGGGGGATGAGAGAGGAGATCCAGGGGATGGTGGCAGGAGGCGGGAGAGGGCCAGAGGTCTGGCTGCCTGCTTAGGATCCAACCATTCCCCTGTTCATGCTGACAACTCCGTCACTGAGACAACAGTTCAGCAAACTTGCCTTGTCTTTGCCCCTGGTTCACCCCTGTAATAAAAGAAAAGGGAGGGGAAAGCAAAGAAATACAGACAGGGAGAAGTGGGCCCTGTTCCATTCCCACCAACAGTGTAGTTCCCTTTTCTCCACATCCAGGACCAAGACATCTCATTCCTGGGACTTCTTTCTAAGAAGAAGGAGGGAGAACTGTATGATGTTGAATGCAGACTACCCATATTAATTTAAATACTTAAATACTAATTTTATATTGGACAGAGCTTAAATATTTGCCAAAAGTATATATTGAATTAGATAGTCAATTGTATGTGGTATTAAGGCAATAAATCATAATAACAGTGTCTACAGGATCATAAAAATATTTTAAAATGAGTAAAACAATCAAAAATTACAATTTGCATGTCATATATATATGACACACATATAAATATAGACACACACAAATATTTGAAAGGGTTGTCTGAAACCAGATACTTTGATTTAGGTGAAAGAATTATGGATATTTTTCATTTAAAAAATTCTTAATGTTATATTTTCAGAATATGTTAAAAATGCAAATTTTATATTTTTCCTGTCATATTATTTAATGAAGCTTCTTACTTTGGGTCGAAGTCTACTTAGGAGCTTTCTCTGTTTTCATTAAGCAGACAAAACAGCTGTTACCTACTATGAAGACAGAAAGATAAACCCAGGGAAAGGGACTTCAGACAAGTGGAGTCTGTCCTATTTGGATTATAGATTTTTGTGAATGCTAACTCTAGCCTTATAAATATGAGTGAGGTTTTACATTTTTTTAAATTAAAGTTAGTTGATTCACAATATTGGATTCAAGTGTACAACACAGTGGTTCAACACTTACATTATTAAATGCTCACTACAACTAGTGCTGTTACTGTGAACACAGAAAGATGTTACAGGACCATTGGCTATATTTTCATACTGTACTATCCCTCCTACCCCCATGACCAACTTATATTATAATTGAGATTTTTGTGCTCCTTTATCCCCTCATATTCCCTACCTACCCACCCTTCTTCCATAGTAACTGCCAGTCACTTCTCAGTGTCTGTGAGTCTACTGCTGTTTTGTTCATTTTGTTTTGTTTTATTTTTAGATTCTACAAATAAGTGAAATCATATGGTATTTATTTTTTCCATCTGGCTTATTTTACTGAGCATAATACCCTCCAGATCTAACCATGTTGTTGCAAATGGCAGGACTTCCTAATTTTTTATGGGTGAATAATATTCCATTGTGTATATATACCACCATTCTTTATCCATGCATCTATTGATAGACACTTAGATTGCTTCCATATCTTGGCCATTGTAAATAACGTGGCAATAAACTGGGGTGCATATATCTTTTCAAATCAGGGACTTTGTTTTCTTTGGGGAAATTCCTAGAAATGGAATTACTGGGTCATGTGAAATTTCTATTTTTAGTTTTTTGAGGAAGCTCCATACTGCTTTTCACAGTGGCTGCATCAATTCACATTCCCACCAACAGTGTAGGAGGGTTTCCTTTTCTCCACATCCTCTCCTGCACTCCTTATTTCTTCTTTTGGATAGTGGTAATTCTAACTGGTGTGAGGTGATACCTCATTGTGGTTTTGATTTGCATTTGCCTGGTAAGTGATTTGGAGCATCTTTTCATGTGCTTGTTGGCCATTTATATATTTTTGGAGAAATGTCTGTTCAGGTCTTCTGCTCATTTTTTAATTGGGTTATTTGTTTTTTTAGTGTTCTGGCATATGAGTTCTTTATATACTTTGGATGTTAATCTCTTGTTGGATAAATCATTTACAAATATATTCTTTCATACCGTATGATGCCTTTTTGTTCTGTTGTTGGTGCCCTTTGCTGTACAGAAGCTTTTCAGTTTAATGTAGTCCTACTTGTCATTTTATATTTTGTTTCCCTTGCTCAAGGAAATGTGTCTAGGAAAAATTGCTCCTGCTTCTATGTTCAAGAGATTTTTGTCTATGTTTTCTTCTAAGAGTTTTATGGTTTCATGTCTTACAATGAAGTCTTTGATCCATTTCGAGTTTACTTTTGTGTATGGAGTTAGACAGTGATCCAGTTTCATTCTCTTGCATTTAGCTGTCCAGTTTTCCTAACACCACTTACTGAAGAGACATGTTTTCCTCATTGTATATTCAGGCTCCTTTATCATATATTAATTGACCAATTGACCATATATGTGTGGGTTTATGGCTGGGCTCTCTATTCTGTTTCATTGATCTATGGGTCTGTTCTTGTGCCAGTACCATACTATTTGATTACTGTAGCTTTGTGGTATAGCTTAAACACTATACTCTCAGTATAGTATGTAAGGTGATACTGTCAGGGAGGGTGATACTCTCAGCTTTGTTCTTTCTGAAGGTTGCTTTGGCTATTTGGCATCTTTGGTGGTTCTTTATAAATTTTAGGATTTGCTCTAGTTCACTGAAAAATGCCATTGGTAATGATGGGGATTGTATTGAATTTGTGATTGCTTTGGGCAGTATGACCATTTTAACAGTATAAATTCTCCCTATCCATGAGCATGAGATAGATTTACATTTATTTGTGTCTTCTTTAATTTCTCTCATGAGTGTCTTATAATTTTCAGAGTACTGGTCTTTTTACCTCCTTGGGTAGGTTTATTCCTAGGTATTTTATTCTTTTTGATGCAAGTGGAAGTGGAATTGTTTTCCTGATTTCTCTTTATGCTGGTTTGTAGATAGTATATAGGAATGCAGCAGATTTTTGTGTTTTAATTTTGTATCCTGCAACTTTGCTGAGTCCAGTTATTAGTTTTAATAGTTTGTGTGTATTTATGTATGGAATCTTTAGGGTTTTCTATATATTGTATATGTCATCTGCAAAGAGTGACAGTTTTAGTTTTTCCTTTCCAATTTGGATGCCTTTTATCTCTTTATCTTGTCTGATTGCAATGGCTAGGACTTACAGTACCTTGTTTGAATAAAAATGGTGAGAGTGGACCTCCTTGTCTTGTTCCTGATCTTAGAGGAAAAGCTCTCAACTTTTCTCCATTGAGTATGATGTTTATCATATATGGCCTCAAAATATATGAGATACTTTCTCTCTGTACCCACTTTGTTAAGAGTTTTTATGAGGAATGGAATATGAATTTTGTCAAATGCTTTTTCAGCATCTGTTGAGATGATCATATGGTTTTTATCCCTTTTTTATTAGTGCGGTTTATCACATTGATTGATATTTACAAGTATTGTATCATCCTTGCATCCCTGGAATAAATCTCCCTTGATTGTGATGGATGATCCTTTTTATGTATTTTTGAATTGGATTTGCTAATATTTCACTGAGGATTTTTACATCTATCTTCAGGGATATTGGTCTAAAATTTTCTTTTTTTTGTAGTGTGTTTGTTGACTTTTGGTATGAGTGATGCTGGCCTCATAGAATGAATTCGGATGTATTCCGTCCTCTTTTACTTTCTGGAGTACTTTGAGAAGGATGGGTATTAGCTCTTCCTTAAATGTTTGGTAGAATTCAGCTGTGAAGCCATCTCATCCTGAACTTTTATTTGTTGGAATTTTTTTATTACCAGTTCAATTCATTACTGTTAATTGATCTGTTCAGATTTTCCTTCTTCCTGGGGCAGTCTTGGAAGGTTGTACTTTTCTAGGAATTTGTCTCTTCTAGGTTGCCCAATTTATTGGCATATAATTTTTCATAGAATTCTCTAATAATTCTTCTTATTTCTGTGGTGCTAGTTAACTATTCCCTTTTCATTACTCATTTTATTTATTTGTGTCTCTTTTTTTCTTGATAAATCTGGCTAGAGGTTTTTTTGTTTTGTTTTTTTTAACTTCTCAAAGAACCAGCTGTTGGTTACATTGATTTTTTTTTCTATAGTGTTCTTTGTTTTATTTTTTTCTGTCTGATCTATATTATGCTCCTCCTTATACTAACTTAGGGTTTCATATGTTCTTTTTCTAGTTTCTTTAATTAGTTTAGACTGTTTATTTAGGATTGTTCTTGTTTCTTGAGGTAAGCTTATATTGCTGTGTACAGGTGGCTTTAGGGATTATTTACTATCTGGGTGACTTTTGCCTAGGGGGCATATTTGAAATGGAAACAGATGCTTTGTTCATCGGCAGGAATAGTGAGTTATTTTCTGTCCTGTGTTTGGGGCCATAGACTCATTTGAGAATGTGATGATAAAACTCTTAAGAACTCTTTCCCATAAATGTGCACATACACCTGGAAGCATTCTCTGGTGGTTCATGGCTTTCCTGTAGCCCATATCTGGGTCCCCTAGACAGACTCAGAGTAAAAACTCCTTAAAAAAAACTGGTGTTCACATAAAAATCATTGAATGAAATCCTCTGATGCTTGATGGCAAAATTAAATAAGACTTTGGCAGGTAGGTTGGAAATGATCACCCTTGGCCTTTGGCCTTTGGCAGACTGGTGGAGGTCAGGATGTCACCTGAGCCACATATTGAGCAGCAACTGCAGGGAAGATGGGTAAAAAATGGGGACCTATTACTGGGTGCTCAGGTGCCAGATGGCATCCATTTGCACTCCCTTGTAACCACTAACATGGTTCTTTTGTCTTTGCAGTCTGCTGACATGGATTGAAGAGAAAGGGCCAGGTCTAAAACGAAACAGACATTTAAGCTTCCATTTCAAATCTGGGTCCCTGGAGAATATGCCCAATGTAGGAGTCAATAAGAATATTTTCCTGAAAGACCAAAATATATTTGTCCAGAAACTCTTGGGCCAATTCTCTGAAAAGGAACTGGCTGCTGAAAGGAAACGCATCCTGCACTGCCTGTGGCTTGCAGAAGAAATCCAGAAATTCTGCTGCTCAAAGAACTAAGTGAAAGAAGCACGTGGCACTTCCAAGATGGGACTGCAGTTTGATTTTTATCCAGAGTTGACCTTTGTCTCTCTTCTTACAATTAAACATGGTTTTGCTTATTATAATGAGCTGTGTTGGGAGTGATATTTGGAAGTGGGGGCACATGTAGTGGGGATGAAAGAAGTAACTTTGGTTGAGGCTTTATATGCTTGATTTCATTTACTGTCCCCACAGCCCTATCATATTATCAGACTTGTTTTTGTTAGTATATTGTAAAATTTTGTTTGAAGTCACCCATATAGTAGTAGTAGAAAGTAAATAGCAGTCTCTAAACCCTACTTATACACTGAGCCACCACAAAATAGTGCCTTGAGTCTCTTTGCTACTTTAAGGAATTTTATTTTCTTCCACAGACTTCCATCAGGTGACTGCTAGGTGCTGGGGATTCTAAAAATGAGTAAGACATAGCTAGTGCCTTCAACAACTCACTGTCAAAAGGGAACCAGTCATAATGTAGTAGGTACAGGAAAATGGTGATCAGGAGACGGGTTCAGGGAAGACATCCAAACCAAATTTTAAATATGTTAGCTGCATAACGGTCAAAGGGGGGCTTTCATGGCAGAACAAAGGGAAGGAAGTGAAGCAGGTTCATGAGTGCCCTGGGAACTCTTGCCCGAGCATCGGGTCTGGAGGAGGGAGTGACAGAGGGTCAGTCTGATCGCCAAAGGCCCTATAGGCCAGGGGAAGGAGTGCAGTGTTCCTTGTTAGGCAGTCCAGAGGCGCTGAACAATGTTATTTAACGGGAGTGGGATGGCCAGGTTTCCAGTTGGGTAAAGCACTCAGCTGCCTGAAGGTGATGTGACTGGAGACCGCACAGGAGGCATCTGGGTGAGAGCCAACCAGTGTATTGGTACTCGCAGCCCTTGGCTTGTCCAGACTCATCGCTCATGATGAGTAAAATTCTGCAGACCCTGAGGCAGAGCTGAGTCCCAGGAAGCTGCTCTCATTTCATGGTTGTCCTGTTGCATTTTCTTCAAAGTTTGTGTTAGATTTCTTGCTTCTGTAAATGTCTCTCTCTTAGTTTTTGCCTACTCCCCACTTGGCATTGTGAGGTTGAACCAGTTCTGAAGCTGTGAAGTCACTGGAGGCAATGTCTGCTTTCTACCTCTATTACTCTATTACTCTACTACCTCAAGGTAAAGCAGGTTAATATATTAACTTAAATCTAAAAAGATCCTTGAGGTAATTATTTTATTTGCCATGTAAAACAATTTGTAATAAACATTGGTTGATTGGTTTTCTTGTTTTATTATCCATATCAAATGCCCCTTGAGCCCAGGGAATATGCTTATGTTTGTATGTTGTACAACACCTAACATGGTATAATTATTAAATAACCGATGATTAAAAGCAGTGCAATTGCTTCTTCCATCTGGACTTGATAACCCCACTGTTTCTAAAATATTGGCCTTATTTGATGTCGGAAGTTGGGGAGGGGATGCCAAAGAAAACGAGCTGGACAGTGAAGTGGTATAAACATTTTATTTAGGACTCTTGCAATAGAGGAAAAGAGCCCTCAGTATAAAATGGCTCAATTCAGAATATAGTATGGGCAAGAGTGGGTGTTTAGCTGAGGGGCAGGGTAGAGGGCAGGGGAAAGAAAATTACAAGGAGGAAGCATGAGTGATGAGGGAGGATTCCAGCTAAACCGACTTGGAAAGGTTCTTGGTGAAGGCGGCCCGGCGTAATCAGATGCCTAGCATGGGGGATGAGGAATTTGATCAGATATTGAGGGTAGGGATTCTTACTAACCTGATTTGGTGGGATTTTTGCTGAAAGTAGGTGATGCAGGGACAGACATGGAAGTCCAGAGGTTGAGGCATAGTTGAGTAGAGAGTTCATAGTAGTGCTTTAACATGTTATTTGAATACCATTTTTCTTTCTTACTGGTCCCCAAACTCCAAGAGCAAATTGATATGTACATTCATCACCACACAATCTTATTAAAATGCAGATTCTGACTCAGCAAGTCTGAGGCGGGCCTTTGGTTTAGGAGAGAGTTTTTGCCATGGACTATGTGATGACTGAGTGGTAACTACTCATCTCAAGCTTGTTTTGTTTTTGGTCAAGATATTCAACATGAAAACATCCATTAATTTTTCTAATTGGTAGGAATTAGAGAGGGAGACGAGGAGATGGAGAAAATAGAACCTACAGAGATAGCAGCAGTCTTTCTTACCCTTCTGTTTACAATGGCCCTCGTCTTTTGGAGCTGCTAGGCCCATCCTGGCTGTACCCCACCACAGCATTCCACCCAAACATTCCTTCCTCTGAAAACTGCACCCCACTTGCCAGTTAACAGTTCTCTTCGAGGTGTCACAGGAGCAAAGAAACTATAAGTGTCCCTTAGCCATGTGTTCAAAGTACCCAAAAGATAATAACCTTGTTTCCTCCCTTGCCTTAAGGCTATCTTGACTCCTTGGAAGGCTTAGTGAGAAAAAGAGCCTTGTGAAAAACCTCAGTCTGAGATGGCAGAACAAATTAGGCTTTCTGTCCACCTAGAAGAAAAAGCCCTTTATCCCACTATGAAGGCTTGGTAAGTGTTGGGGGATCCTCCAGGAGGGAAGAAGCAGTAGTGTCCTTAACCCCTCTGCCCCTCACCCACTTCTTCTGGGACAGGAGTACCTTGCCTAACTGACAAAGCTGAGAAAGACTAAGCTTACAAAGCTCAGGCGCTCTCTGATACGCCTGTGTTCTCAGGCAACCAGGGTAGGGTCCTCTGCACTGGGGTGGCCAGCAGCTTTGAAGAAGAGTAAAGTCACTCTAAGGGCAGATTAGCAAACCCATCCTCGCTGTAGATCCCAGCCACATTCCCCAATCAGCTTTATCATAATAAAACAGATTCTGTTTTAAAAGCATCTCTCTTCTGCATGTATAGTTTACTGGGTCCCCAAAATTGGTGATGCCAGGGTTCTTGTTCATGAAGCCGAATAATGAGCTTCACAAACACTCAAGGTAGGAGTGTGAGGAACAGACTTTTATTTAGAGATTAAGTGAGAGGACAGAGCTCCCAGCTCGCCAGGAGGGGACAAGAGAGTCCATGGTTGGCTCATTGTCTAGGGGTTTTATGCCCGGTTGAGGATTTTCAGGAATGACAGTAAAGGGTTAGGGGTGCAGACTTGTTGAGTGGTCCCAGAATGCTCATTCTTGATGAATAACAGAAGAAATTTTCTGCTCTGATTCTCAAGATAGCAGTTTCCCTCTGGGAGCATGTCAATTAAGACTGCCTACCCTACCCCCAAGGTGGGCTGGGTTGTTGTCTGTTTGCTGAAGTAAGTGAAGCATCTTACTTCTTAACTTCTTGGGCTGTTTATAGTTGGGCTTGTTTACTAAATTAGTCTTTTTCCTGGGTGGCAGATTACTTGGTTAGGATCAGAGAAGGAAATATAGCACCTAGGTACGGTTAAAATAAGCTGGGCCTTTTAGCAGGTAAGGTAAATTTTACAGTGTCATGATTTAAATTGATAGAGTGAAGTCACTGGTTATGCTGGGACACTTCTCTTTATCTGCAGAACAATCAGACGTTCCAGGCCAAGCTACTGCTGGCCTTTTAAACTTTAACTGATCTCACTGAAGATGTCTGTATTCCTAGTCTGGTATCTTTACCCTAGAGAAATAGTGTGGCTCTGACTTTGCCTAATGCTTATCACAGAGTTTCAATAGGGACTTCTTTGCACATTGCTACATTGTTGTGATGGTAATTATCTTGCTCTGCTTTTTCTCCAGAGGCCTGCACTCTACTCTGACTACACCCATGGTCCCTGTCTCATTGAGAAGGAGAAAAAGGCATGTTCCTTGCTGGCCCCTTAAATCTCAATAATTTGTTATCTCCTGTGGTCCTCTGCTTAAGGAATAAAGTGAAAAAAAAGGGCGGAGGGGAGAATACTTGGTCAATGACACTACAGTTCCTCAAGAGAAGGCTTAGTTGTGTAAAATTCCTTGGTAAGTCGGTCCTTTGGGGGAGGGGACTGCAATGGAAGGGAAAGCAAGGGAAGGTTGATGGATTGAAGGGAAAAAAATAGACAAACCTCTGCAAAAGTAATTAATAGGAATTTAAGTGGGAAAGGAGACGGGAATAAGAGGGCCAAGAGCAGTAAACCCTTGATACTGAGGATGGGTGAGCTGACCAGCAGCCTGGGCAATGGCATGGCTCGAGAGCTTATTAGAAATGCAAGTTCCTAGGCCCACCTCAGACCTGCTGAGTCAGAATCTGCGTTTTAATAAGATTGCATGGTGATTCATGTACATATCAATGTGTTCTTGGAGCTTGGGGACCAGTAAGAAAGAAAAATGGTATTCAAATAATATGTAAAAGCACTGCTATGAAGAATGCTACAAAGAGGATTTTAAAAGCTTGTGGAGGGGAGGGAGGAGTTTTTTCTAGGTGAAAAGTCAGGGAAAGGTTCTCTAAATAATGTGTGGAAACCTGAAGGTTGAGTAGGACTCCAGCAGAGGCAGGCAGGCGAGGCATGGGGAGACGTTCCAGACAGAAGGAGCAGCATGTGCAAAACCCTGTGTCCAGCCATGCCCGAAGCTATTACTACCCCTGGGATGCTCCAGGTATGGGCACCTTAAATTCTTGTTTGTTAATTCCAACTGGCTATATAAACCTAGCTATTTTTTTTTAAGTTACAGAATGAGAATGAGCTACTAACAAACATTGGAAAGTATTCAATGAATTACTATTAAGTAAGCAATATGCTTCGGGGCCTGTTATAAGAGTTTTACATTCCCTATCCATTTACTCTTTATGAATCCCATATTAGTCCATATGCAGTAAGCATTTCTCATTCATCTTTTTTAACAAATGATGAGACAGATTCAGCATTTAAGCCATATTGGCAGATTCCCTCACTTAAGACAGGAGTTGGCAAAGTATAGCCCACAGGCCAGGTCCCACGGCCACTGCCTGTTTGTGTGAAGTATTGGAACAAAGCCACCCTCTTTCATTTACATGTCGTGTGTGATTGTTTTCACACTACAACAGCAAAGCTGAGTAGGTATGACAGAGACTGTATGGCCCACAGTCTAAGGTACGTGCCATCCGGCCCTTTACGTAAAATTTTTTCAACCCCATTTCTGGGTGAAGGAGCCCAGGGTTGAGCTCAGGCCTTTCTGGCTGCAGTTTTCCTTTTAGTCCCCACGCTGCCAATTATTCAGGTCCAGGTAAAAGGTGTAGACGCTGTCATGTCAGACACCAAACAGTTTGGAAACTGCAATGGGCAAACAACACACTTTCCAAATTTTTTATTGTTAACTGTGTCTGGGTTTAGTATGTGTCATTTATTCATTACTTTGTATTCAGTAGCATTTAATGGAGACCGACAGTGTGTGTGTGTTGGTAGTGCTGGGCTCTGGGGAAACTGAAGTAAGACCTAGCGTCTCATCAGGATGCTGACAGCTTACAGAGGACTGGCTCACACCAGCTGGAGGGTGTGATGTCCTAGGACAGGCATAGACTTAAGCCAATGGACCCCAGAGGAGGAGGGAGCTCTTCTGGGTGAGATGTCTGGGAGGAAGTGGCATCTGGGATCAGCCAGGCCAGGAAGAAGTAGGAAAACAAGGAATATGTTCAGGAAAAAAATGAGTGGTGTAATTTGACAGCACAGAGGAGTGTGGTAGGAGACGAGTCTGAGAGACGGGAAGGGGCTAACCCCGGAGGACTCCAGGGACTGAGCGGACAGAGCCTCAGGAGGCCACCGGGAAGCTGGCTTCAGCCCCAGTCATACTGTTAAAGTGGTTTGTGACCTTGGTAAAATCATGTGATATTTCAACTTAAAAAAAGGGGTAGATGATAAAAAAAGGGGTAACTTAAAAAAAGATAATCTTCAGAGTCCTTTCAGGAGGGTTTTTGAACAAGAGGGTACCATAATTAGAGCTGCATCTCATGATGATGGACCCTCCAGAGACAGGGTAGAGGCTCAGGCCTTCCTCCCCAGGCAGGTATCCTCAGAGGCGAGAAAGAAGCCTTTACGCAATGGTAGCTGGCTTATTGTAGACACACAGCAACCCAATACACTGGACCATAAAATGGGTTTCCTCTCTTCTATGGAAGTGACTCCAGATAACTCTTCCCTGACAGATCTTGATCAAGAGAACTGACCATTGTAGAAATGTTACTTAGGGAATTTCTATGGGGAAGAAATATGGGCCTTGGAAAGAATGAAGATTTTATGCAGCTTTAAGGAGACAAGAGTGTTGATCAAAAGTCAGGAGGCTGCAGCTTGGGCGCAGGAAGTAAAGGGTGTTTTTCTTTTTCATCTTGGGATCCAGAAAGCTCAGACTAGGAATGAGATAGGAGAGGAGGTTAGGCAAGAATGTAGTCACCAAAAATGAGGATGCAGCCACAGGAA